TCGATATCAGAAGGAGTCCCTCGGAAATTGTTCCAAAACCGCTCCACCGCTCGCTGAGCTACTGGAGAATCGCCAAATCGGTCCCGGAAATAGTTGAAGAGTGCAAACTCGTCGCGACTTAATATGTATGTATCAGGCTGTAGTTGTATTTTCCGCCAGAGCTCACTGATAGCAGTTTCGAGGATCGCGCTCACTCTCGGATCTATCTGGCCGTCTTCACTGGTTCTCGCTGCTTCTAGCGCTCGTCGAACTGACTCGCCATTTGGCATACTGGGGCTATTTGCCATAGTGACTATCAGCCGATTGTGGTTAAACGATCTTATCTTCGTCAACTCAAGTTGGGAACAGCAGAGGACTTTGATACCGTCACAGCTCTTGCAATTCTGTTCAGTCTCGGAGAAAAAGCTCGTGAAATGTGCACCACGAGAGCCGCTGCCCCTTCTCACAATGATGGCTCGAAGAAAGTAAGGAGCGCACGCCGCAAGGAAAACGAGGCGCTTATTAGGGGTCAAGGCACCCCCCCTCTCGACAAGTACAAGGTGTGTACTTTACCACAAGATAATAAGTGATCACTATTTGACAATGTCCTTCAGCTTATCGTTGGTTGACGTTCCCTGCTCCTTGCCTTGTGCCCCGCTCTTCCGCTTGAGAAGCTACTTAACCTAATAGAAATATTTGAGAACGGGCAACTAAAAATATGCAGAATTGTGCTCCAAATCTTAAAGGACCATCTGGCCAGCCAGTGGGGCCTTTGGCGGCACCGCTATATAATAGCTTTTTGTGCCTGACCCAGAACGCTTCGCCTGAGGGTCAAGTCAGGCGCCGTTCGATAGCTCGACATGTTTGTGTCGTGACTGGGATAATTATCCCTGAACGTAGAGCTGCCTAAATATGACCACATCCAAGCCGCGTAGATTTACGCGCAAAATACATCGGCAATGTCACACCACACTAAAACGAATCTGGAAACCTCGCTCTCTTTCCCTTGGAGATGGAAAGCAAGACGAACATGGTCTCTCCTGAATGCTTCAAGAGTCCAACGAATATCACGGCCCATTGGGGAGTTCAGAACCTGGTGAGTAAGATTCGAGATCGTGGAAGAGTTACCAGAAAGATCCCATCCATCTTCTTCACAATTCCCCTAATATTTGAATCCACAAAGTGCTGGCTGCCAACTAGGCTATTATCCCAGATCACCAGCTTAAATAGTTTCAAGCAAACCGGAAGTATTCTGCATGAAATTGCACTGCAAATATCAAACAGATTGAGAACCCAAGGCTCTCACTTCCATTCAAGTCGTTTCCAGTATGGTTCTGACCAAAGCAAGGCCTTAAATCGCCTTGATTAAGTCGCTTCTTTTTCATACCTAATTCTCCTGCTTTTGACATAACATACTATGTAGCTATGCTTCCAGTGGACATGTGCTGTCGTCGTTTTGTGAAAAGGGGAGAGCGGAGCTCAACATCAAAGTTGTTTTTTTTTTTTCATCCTTTTTTTCAGGGCTACATGGACCCAGTTTGAGATCCGCACGGTCACGTCGCGCGCTCTTGAAGCAGCACTGATTGGACACATTTTTATGGACCATTTGCCATGAAGACGCAGGACGCTCCACAGGTGCTTCAATGTTTGCTCTGAGGTCTTCGAAATCCAACTGCGTGTGTCGAAAGTCGATCGAAGGCCATTTTGCCATGCTACAACAGGGGGTTAACCCAGCACCGTTCGCTGGTTATCTGCGTTAAATCGTATAATGATGCAGTGTAATGCAAGGGACGTTTCCTCTGTCCCTCCCCAAAGTGTTGAGCAGGCAACCTATGTGCATCGCCAGGATATTTCTTGTGGATGGAGATCATAACCGTCAGCCTGATCCAGTTTTCGAAAGGGCACAAAACTCTCAGCAGCTACCTTCATACTAGCTCAGATGAAAGAGACGAAGTTTGGCTTCCAGATAACCGATGGTGGCATTTGGATGAGCTGTTTGGTTTCTTCCTGGAGCAAGATAATCCAAACTCGAAGCTTGTTTAGGCAGGGTGGTTTCTCTCATATCCACGGCTCTTGATATGGCAACTTCAATAATCAAATCGACACATTACAAGATACCTTGTAATGAGAAAGAGATTCTGAGAGATGTGGGAACACTGTGGACGATGTTCGCGGGGAAGAGAAAGGAGACATGGCCTAAACTCTATCTTCAGGTGATCAAGGGCTTCCTCTCTGTGTGACTCAGCGTCCATTAACTATCACCATCAAGATATTAAACTCGTCTTTCATCTCTGGCCCTTCAGTAAGCATCGAGCGAAGACTCTTTCGCCATTCCACCGTGGTCAATTTCTTCGCCGCATCCAGGCCCTTTCCGACAAGTCCAATATTTAGAGCCATGAATCTCTCGGGCAGCAAGAAGCCATCTACGTCGACCATGATTACAGACAGCTGGCAGAGAACCCGACCCACGCACTAGGATGATGCTTTAGCTGAAACCTTACTGGCCAGAAATTCTGACATACGGTCGATTTCTTCGAAACCTGATGCTTCCGCCTCGAAGGAGACTACGAAATATCCAGCCATTATTTGACATTTCGGACTCTGAAGTGACATTTGCCTCCCAAACTGAGACAAGTTGTCTGCGGTTCCGGTTCTCTTATCGAGACCTTGTTGGCAATACAAATTTGATCTCAAACCGTGAAGTGACAGGCTTATAACCGCCGCGATAGTTACCAAGTGACTGATAATAAAACGCATTTCTTATTGGACGGAGCGGCCTGGCTTGAAATCATGGGGACGGGTTTCTGGGAAGTGTCCTTCTTTTCCATTTGGAGACTGGAATTCAATACAGAGTACCCAATACATGCGAAGCAAAATCACTCTGAAAGCCCTTACATGGCATAAAATTTAGCCATCTTTGCCCTGAAGTTTCCTAACGGCCGCCCTGAGATATGGCTTTCCTCCGAGCCCGCTTACACGCATCTTTTCCTATTTGAATTGGGGCATGGAGATGGCTATGCCAAGGTAGAAACCTTGCCACGTAGCTTTGCGCTCATTTGGAGATCGCTGGCAGCCCTCACTTTCAGCCATACATATCATAATCCAAGCGAAGTAGATGACGACTATATAAGGAATAGGTGCCTTGCACAAGCGCCAATTAGCCATAATTTAGTATTCTTCCCATCGCCATTGAGTCGAAATAGACGCTCGAATATGTTTAACCCGAATTGAATGTATAGTTGTAATCTCACTGATTCCTGATATATTGTGCACTGATCCTCATTTTTTTAACTCCTAGTGACAGTAAACCAACATGGAAATGCCGAACAATACACAGATATTCGATTCTTTGGGAAATGTAAAGTATGAACTTCGATGATGCTGGAATGCGAGTCTTTTGTTCCTGAAAATAGCCTTTTGATGTGGCGCAGATCAGAGTCCCAGGTTTCCGGGTTGTTGTTGTGTTCCGCAGCTGGTTAGCGTGGTTGGCAAGTTAGAGTTCTCTAGTGGCTCTGGAGTAGCCAGCTATTCCGGATTCGATCAGGGTCTACATGTGATTCGGCCAATCTACGGCCCGTAACTACACAGTAGAGTTGATTATCGATAAGGATGCATATTAGAATACTGATACTGATCGATTCCACACAAATGATCTAGAAAGTGCGGTGTCATTTAACTATATAAAACTGATACGTTCTTTTCTGCATTTGGAGTATCTTGAGATGGTTTTCTACTTCACCTCAAATGTTGTTGAACCCCCGGCGTTCATTTATGTTGGGAGGGATAAGGAAGAAAGTATGCAAACCCCACAGATTTGCTCATGATCAACCATTGTCATGCTGATATTGTGAACCTGCATTGTGTAGATGAGGATTTAATCAAGTATGGATGGGAGAATGATGTTTGGTAAGTTGCTTTCGAGTTTTTTGTCTTCTTTTGTGTTTTTGTTGGATCTTCTCTGGACTAACTCCATAGGGTCCGTTCTACAAACCTTTTCGAAAACACGATCCTTGTATTATTCGCTTCGTTTTTCTGACCAGCTGTTAGTTCCATGTGGATAATCTGTCGAGCGCACACGTTTATCTTCGCCTTAGCGAAGGTCAAAGTTGGGACAACATCCCAAAGGAATTACTGGAAGATTGTGCCCAACTCACAAAGGCCAACTCTATTGAAGGTGTCGTGTTATTCAAAAGCCCCATCTCTGCGACGATATTCATTCTCTAATACCTATACTATTATGATATCAGGAAACAAGAAGGATAATATAGCAGTGATATATACACCATGGTCAAACTTACTAAAGACGGCTTCGATGGCTACTGGCCAGGTGTCCTTCCACAACCCGAAACTCACGCGCAAAATGTTCGTTCCTGCGCGCCAGAATCCCATTGTCAATCGATTGAACAAGACCAAGGTCGAGAAATACCCTGATCTCAGGGCCGAAAAGGAGGAATATTTAGCGAAAATTAGGAAAGAGGAGCGAAAACGAACAGAGGAGAGACGTGCCGCAAACAAGAAAGAGCGTAAAGAGAGAGAAGAATTAAAATGGCAAAAAGACCACGCTTACGATGATCTAATGAGTGAAGAGAATATTCAACAGAGCAGCAACGTGAATCGTGACGAAAGCTATCTCGATGACTTTATGTGATGAAGGTGGTGAGCATGGTATATAACTTTTGTCGACGAATTTACCTCCGCATAGTGCAGAAACAGCCAGAATTCTACATGGTCTTGGGAGCTTTCGAAATGTTGGTCTTTTTTTGAATTTTTCTTTTTATCATAGTGTGGGACAAATGTGAGCGCTGCTTGTTGCTAGAGCTCGAGTCGGTCTTAGCGTTTTGGTCTTTCCAGCCGCCTTTTTCTTCTGAAGTTCAACTCCAGCCAACCAGCTTCGGACTTGGATTTTTATCATCGTTTCTTATGTATAGACGTACATACTCTGTGAAGAGCGGAATTTACAATTTACAGCACCTGCGCACCATACCTGTCTGTAGAACAAATAAACATGAAGAGCTAGATATAGATCGTACTGGGAATCGAACGGTCTTCAGAATTATCTTCCTGCAATCACCATGTAGTAGTTATTTATTGACGTGGGGCATCCCATAATCTGATGTGCTGACCGCTACACTATAGTTAATGCGACCCTATGGATGTATTTGATTAGAGAGAGGAGAGGCACTATATGCAAAATGACACTTCTCAGAGGTTAACCAGCAAGCTGAGCTTTGTAAGTGGATACCTACGGACACCTTAACTACCTCAATATAACTGATCCACATCTGCCATATATACGGCATGCATTACCCTAACACTCCAGGGATAAGCTGACAGACTGCCAGTTGTCCATTCTGTGAAACTGTCATCCTCACGATATCGAAGAGATTCCATTGAACAGAATGCCAGCAGATAGGGTGTCTTCTGCGCCTTCCCAAGGTTGGTTTTTGTTGACCCACGCACCATGCAAGTTGTCACTAACCTTTGTCTCCGTTCCTAAAAAGCTACAGGGAAATCAAAGAAAAATAAGAAGAAAAAGGGCAATGAGAAAGCGTGTGTGAATGGTGACATTGATAACGAACATCAAGAGCCCAACCAAGATGCTGCGATAAACTCCAATAATGGTACTCAGCAAGTGACCGAGGTAGGGAAATCGTCATGTTGTTAGCAGTCTCATAAATGTTGAAGGTATGACTACATACTAATATTGGATTTTCCGTGACTAGGGACGTTGCGAGGATTTGATGAATGGCTTGCACACCAACGATCCCGACATAGCGAAGATGGCCGATGATAAAGAAACGCAGGTGACTGAGCAGACTGAGAGGCCGGATACCCCAGGAAATGAGAAGCACGAGTTAGAAAGTACCAAACATTTAACGATTCTCCAATCCGATACCCGGTTCGAAGCCCTTGTACGGGATCGTGACTCGCTTCGAGTAGAGGTCGCAGAAATGCGGAGGACGTTGGAGCTGATACAGTCCAAGCATGATGAAGAGATGGAGACCATTCAGAATACATTACGAGAGACTCAGAATGAGAAACATAATGCAGAAACCCAATTTCGGAACCTTTTGGGCAAGGTCAATACAATTAAATCTCAATTGGGAGAACGGCTGAAAGCAGATGCTGTATGTTCTTTTCTCCGACTTTGGATATAACCCATACCGCCATGCCCACTAACCAATGGATTAGGAGGAATTAAGTCAAGCAAGAAGCAAAATTCAGGAGTTGGAGAGCCAGAATGAAGCGCTTAAAATTGAAGTGGAAGCCAAATCCGCACAGATTGAAACAGTGGAGAAAGAAAGCGAACAGAGGTCGAAAGAACTTTCTAGCTTGCGAAACAGAATGATTCTTTCCCAGCAAAACTGGTTAAAGGAGAAGGAAGAGCTGTTAGAAAAGGAGACCTACCTGCGTACAGAATTCGAAGAAGCTAAGCAGGCTATGCATAACTGGGAGATTCTTGCCATGGAAGAGCGGTCGGTTCGAGAGGGACTTGGAGAGAAGGTCGTGGACTTAGAAGAACAACTAAATGGCCTCAAAACCAACTACGAGAGAGCATCGAACGACAACAGAACCCAAGAAAACACAATCGAAGGCCTTCAGAAAGCTTTACAAGAAATCCAGACAGGCAAGTGTTCCATTCATGGACCACTTTTGCATGCTCTAACATTTTTGATCCAGCTCGAAAACAAGAATTGCGGGAATTGGTTGAGAGCTCTGATGCCCAGACCGAAGAGCTCCGAAGGAAGCTTCAACATGCCGAAAAGTCGGCCACAGACGCTATTGCTGAGCTGGAGGGAACGAAAAAGGAGTTAGAAAGAGCATTACCTTTTGAGAAGGAAGTGAAGGAGAAGAATCTACTTATTGGAAAGCTTCGGCATGAAGCGGTGACATTGAATGAGCATCTTACAAAGGCTCTACGCTTTTTGAAAAGGGGACGGCCAGAAGACAATGTAGATAGGTGGGTGACATACGACTTTAAAGAAGCATGATAGTGCTAATGGAAAAACCAGGAACCTCGTTACAAACCACTTCCTCCATTTCCTTGCTCTGGATCGGTCGGATCCGAAGAAATTCCAGGTCCTCCAGCTCATAGCAGCGCTTCTAGGATGGACGGATGGTTAGTCAACTTGCTCTTCTTGCTTGGTTAAAATGCGCTTATCCTGATCATCACGTAGAACAACGTGAGCAAGCTGGCCTTGCTCGGCCTGGAAGTACCGCGTCGCTCAGTCTTCGAGTTCCCGGGGCGTCTCCTGTGCAGCGAACGCCGAGCTCACCAGCCCTCGCTTCAGATTACTTTACTGAAACTACTCCTTCCCGTAAGGAGTCTCTGGCAGAGTTATGGTCTAGCTTCTTAGAACAAGAAGCACAAACTGAAAAGAGACACAAAGACACTGGAAGCGAATAGTGTTATCTGATGACCTGAGCTGGCTACACTGTTTCCGTCTGGGTAGATTTTTACGAGCTCATGTATTTTAGAGAAACACACTAAGTCAGTTGATATTCTTTCTTCTTTGGGTCGATTTTTAAAGACACTCAAGCCCGTTAGTCTGCAACATTCGTAGGGGACATTAATACAGATAGAAAGTATGGGAATATTCGTGCTGGAACCCTGAGTAGCAAACATTACTTGGGTTGTGCCAAGACTCCCGCAGGCATCAAAGCGAGTAACTAACTAGCGGTTATGATTGCGGGGACGAGCTCAACATGAATCTTTTGCTTATCCAAAGGAACTCTTCCATCCGCCTAACAGTGCTTGCTGCATATAAGCCTTCCCTGCTGCGTGCGGTATTGACTTCTGCCATGGCCGCTGCAGGTAGGTCCCTGGGTTTGGAACCCTTATTCCTATTATTGATTCCACACTTTCACCACGACGACTCGGAAAACTGACAAGAGAGTGTGTATCTCTCCCGCCACATTTTGCAGCCAGCAAGTTTCGTCCCGTGGTGGTTTCCGGACCTTCAGGAACAGGGAAGTCAACAATCCTCAAGCGGTTGTTTGCCGAGTATCCCGATAAGTTCAGCTTCTCTGTCTCGCGTCAGTATTACATACATACATATCCCAGGGTCGAGGGGCCTTCCTCCCTTCTTCTTCTTCTTCTTCTTCTTCTAGCTGCTGGAGATAAGAAAACAGGGGACAGAACAGAAAAAACTAAATATAATGATTTTGCGCCCATAGATACCACACGCGCACCGCGTCCGGGCGAGCAAGATGGTCGCGAATACTCCTTCACGAACAAAGATGCTTTTCTAAAGCTAGTCGACGAAGGGGGGTTTATCGAATACGCCCAGTTCGGCGGGAACTACTATGGGACGAGTACCAAGGCAGTGAAGGATATCGCTGAGCGGGGAAAAGTTTGCATTTTGGATATCGAGATGGAGGTCCCAATGGATTCTTTCCTTTTTTTTTTTTTAATTACTATTTTATCCTTCTATATAGAGGGGGAAGGTTGCTAACATCTCGAGAAAAATAAATAGGGTGTCAAACAAGTCAAAAAGACGGATCTAAACGCTCGGTTTTTATTCCTTGCGCCTCCGTCGATGGAAGAGCTAGAGCGTAGATTACGTGGGCGTGGAACAGAAACGGAGGACAGCCTTAACAAGCGGTTGGCACAGGCAAAGAAGGAACTGGAATATGCTCAGCAGCCAGGTGCCCATGACAAGATTGTTGTCAATGATGATCTCGAGACAGCATATAAAGGCGTGAGGGACTGGATTGTGGATAATGGGAATTTCGGTGCGATATCCTGATTGATTCAACTATAGGTGCCTTTTATGTATCTACTTTCTGATGAGATACCCTTATATACCATCGTTGTTATAGAGTAATCCTGGGCCGGGAGATTTGGATTTTGCCTGCAATGGTTTCTGATCAATTCGCCTGAGCCAGGTATTGCTTAGCTCATGATGAACAGGTACCGAAAAAGAATTCAAGACAAAAGGAATCTGGAAGAGTGAGATTAAACGGATTATGAAGTCCAAATTTAGAAAAAAATATAAGAAGGCATGCCCCTATGATGACCAGCCATCTCAGATCTACCTGACTTCTGTTGGCAAAAAAACAATAATAACTCAGTGTGATTAGAAACGGAAGACAAAAATATAACAACAGCTGCAGCAGGATATCTGAAAAAGTTAGCACTAGGTTTCTTGCAAGAACAAAATCGCTTAGAGTGGTATTCGCATCTCCGGGCATGCAAATCGAGACTTCTGACTGGAGCGACGTGGTCTAGCCAGCAGAGAGCTCGACTGTAGGGACATTAAATCCCACAAATAGACTCTAATAACCGTTCATTGTCATTCTTTGTGAATTGCGGCTCAATTCCCGGTCCGCCGAAGGGCTTATTGGTCGGCTGCCGTGGCCAGTAGCGCTGCTTTCTTTCAAGGCAAGCAATTGTTTAGCACGGAAAGTCTCATAGTGGATCTGGCTTGTGGTTTCAATCAAATCCTGTAGGTGAGTTCGCGTAAGGAAATTGCGAAGGTAAACGAATTCGCAATGATTCTCATCTTCGACGTTGATTACCCCCCAACGGTTTTGACGGCCGCGAACTTGTTTACCATTAACGATGATGGACTTTTCGCTCCCGACGACGGCAAATGGAATTATGTCCTGCATTTGAAATGAGTATTTCTATTAATGAGACAAGGATAATCATAGAAGACATATATTTACCTTAATCTGAGCATTTACTGCACGCTCTTCGTCGTCGAGTTCGTCATTGTCGTATGGATACATTTTGAGATTGTGGAATAAAAACTCCTCCTTGATCCTTTCTTTGAATGCTGATCGCTCTTCCAGCGTTAGAGAGTCGGATTTGGCAATAACGGGTACAACGTTGACGACGTCGGAGAGCTTCTTGAGAACAACGATATCGATAGGTTTCAAACTGTAGTGTTCAGTTAGCATGGGCTAAGAATTTTCGCAATGTGTTGAGTCCATACGCATGTCCGGAGGGCTGGATGAAGAACAGGCAGCAGTGAATTCGAGTGTCCTGAATATAGCGCTCTCGCTGGGCAGTAAGCTCCTTTCGTAGGTAGGCCGAGTGTTGGTCTTTGATGTACTTGACGATCGGGTCCCAGCTATATGTGGTTCAAAAATCAGTGAGACATTCCTGTTCATGCTGTGGTTGACCCTGTTCACAAACCAT